GAGCTAGTTGCTGCCAGAGTCACCGTGGATGACTCTGCTTAACTGTTTAAAAAACCCTCTAAAAAAGTGCCCGCTACAGGAGGGGGCAGGAGAACCACGTGCCTCACCTATGTCAGGAATTTTTCGGCTTTTAACCCTTGCTTAACTCTGCTCGAGTGATCATAAATGCCTAAAGTCAGACTAGATGAGGGACGTCGTTCTCCTGCCTCCTCCTGTAGAGGGCACTTTTTAGAGGCTTTTTTAAACAGTTAAGCACTAAGCAGAGTCATCCAAGGTGACTCTGGCAGCAACTAGCTCAGCCTGACCTCAGCTCTTGCCTTTTACATTTTTTTTTCTTTTCATGATGACAGTGGTGAGGCTCTGCCTCCTCTGCCTCCCCTGACTGCACGTCACTGCTGGTGAGGGGGGCAGGAGGAAAGAAAGATCCAACATGTGTGTGTGAGAGAGAGGGCGGGAGAGAGCACACCGTCGCCAGCCCTGATATAACTCTCTGAGATCAGATCTCTCTCTCCCTCCCTCCCTCCCTGGTTTAGGCAGGCTTAGAAAATCTGCCAGGCTGAGGAAAGTGCATGTGCTATGGCATGATGCGGATGTTCTTCACTTGCCCCTTTGCCTGGCTTTCCTCCTCCCACTGTCTCCTTGGTGCTCGCTCAATTGCTTGCGCTCTCCCTCCCCAGTATATCTTGACGCAGTCAGCAGCTCACAATTGCCCTTTGCAAGCACACTGTCGGTGAAGCTGGGCACCGGTGAGAGCTGGCTTTTTGCCTAGGTTTGTCCAGCTGTCGGGGAGGAGGAGAACAGCTTCCTCACCAGGCCCCTGTCCATTTTCCCCCCCTCGACATCTGGACAAACTTAGACAAAAAGCCAGACCTCACTGGCGTCTTGCACATACCAGCCCTCGTGGCCGGCATTTAGAGAAAGAAAAGTATGTTTTGGGCACCCAGAGGTGTCATCATCGGGAGGGTGACTCACCCATGGAAATTACTTAACTGCAACCCCACAACATGCTTGGGAGTGAGGGGCAGGGCCCCCAGGCTCCAAATAAGGTTCCTTTTAAACCTAAGCCCTTTTTCCTTAACCGTCGCTTCCACACTTGTCTCTTGGTGTCAGGCCTGCAGCTATATTTTCTTTTGGGTCTTTGGCCTGCCACAATTTCTATTATTCTGCTATGCATTTTCTATTGTGGGAAAATGGGAGGGGGGATTGTAAAGAGTCACATACTATGTAGCCACAACAAAATTCTTTCTAGAGCCAAGGTTATCCTTTGTCTCTGCACCTGACCAGAATTGGATGGGTGGAACTGCCAGCATGGCAGTGGGAGATTGGACCATGTGATGGACTTGTGGGTGTGTGTGGGGACAAGATCTTGAACTTTCAAATGTGTGGGGAAAACCGGGAAGCTTTCAGATTCGGGTTTTCCCAGATGTGCCAACATGGCTCTTCTAATAAATTGGAACTTTGAGCAATACTTTGCCTTCGACTCTGATTTTTGGAACCCTGACACTCGGGCTCATTCACCCTCAAGTGCCCGTTGCTTCCAGTACCACTGCTGGGGCTTCCCGTTTCTTCATCATCTCCGGTGGAGCGCTCCACCATGCTCTGAAGCCTGCTGCCGTTACCTCCTCCCTCGTGGAGAGGTTGAGATGCTGCAAATGGAGGGTGACATTGTGCACGTTTTCCCCCAGGACCATGTGTAAATTGTGAAGTCACTGAACCCCGGGCTGATAGGGATGGGTTGCAGCGGGAGCATGGCCACACAGGTGGAATCCTGCTAGGGAGCTAGCAGAGAGGGGAGAGTGCAAGGTTGCTGGGATGAGGGGACCCACATCCAGCTCACCCAGCTTCTCTTCCTCTCGCAGACAGCTTTCTCAGTCTTGCTTGACACAGGCTTCCTCCCCAGGCTCCCGTCCATTCCCCCCCCCCCCAACAGCCAGACAAAGCTAGGCAAAAAGCCAGCCCTCACCAGCGTCCAGTTTCACCAACAGTGGGCTTGGAAAGGGCAATGTAAGCTGCGCTCCGGCCTGCATCAAGCTAGACTGGGGTGGGAGAGAGCGCGAGTGAGCCAGTGGTGCTTCCCTCCAGCTTTCGGCCAAAGCCCTGTGCCACACCAAGAGGCTAAAGTTGGAATTTCTTCTCCCCTCTGACCCGCACATACTTTGGCAATGGGGACTGTTTCTCTCCGCCCCTTTTTCCTTTTTTGTCTGCTGTATCACTGCAAATCAACCTAGCTTTGCTGTCCATTGCAACTAGGGATCTCAAAGCCGAGAATGAACATTTGTGTTGTAGTCAGCCCGGGTGCTAGATCGGCCCCCTGCTAACTTCCTCTCTTGAGGAGCCCAGGCAAACTTTTGCACACCACTTGCTGAGGCGGCGGGTAGGGTGGAGCTAATAGGTGTCCAAGCTAAGTGCCTGAAGAAGCCCAGCTAGCCAGTGGGGAGGCGGGGCATCCCAACACCGGCATTTCTGCAGGAAAAGAAACTGCTTTTTTTGCCAAGCCGTGCTGACGCAGGGTCACATTGTGGCTCCGCATCATAATAGGCTTCAGGAGGAGGATGGGATCCCGTCTCCCCCATTGTGAAGTGCACAAGTGAAAAAGTTCACTCAATCAATTCCAACTTCATGAGATCTTTTTCTTTCGCTAGAAGTTGGAATTGATTGTGTGAAACACAATGGAGAAATGTGATTGGAGCTGGGCTGGGGCGACTGTGTGCGTACCCAGAGAGAAGGCTCTGCATGCCACGTCTGGCACGTGTGCCATAGATTCGCCTTCACGGGTTTAGAGTGTGCTAAGTACTCTATCAAAACTTGCTGAGAAGACAAATCCAGAAAATGGTGGTACATCTTGTTTTCCAAGGTATCAATTCAATCTGTTAAGTGAAAGTCATTTGATAAAATCAGTGAAAGTTAGTTCTCACATGGTCAAAAGTAAACTACAGTGTCTAACACTGTATCAGACTGTTACCAAAACAAAGAACAGATGGAAACTATATTTCCCACCCCAAGAGAATTGCTTCTAGCCCTTTATGTTGTTTACAAATGTTTTTCTGGTTCAGTTCCAAGTGGGGGAAAAGACACTGGAAACAAGGAGGCTGCTTGGAAATATGGTTTAATGGTGGACAGGATCACATGGCTTGAGCTTCTGAGCAAAATCACATGGCTTGAGTTCAATCAACCCCTTTTGAGTTCAATCAAGCCCTTCACATCCAGACTATTTAGTATTTTTTAAAATTACACACAATGAGCCCTTGGATTCCTACTTATGAGACCACCAGTGCAACATATTCTGCTTTACTGGGCAGCATCATTTGTGAGTCACAGTCAGGGTTTGGGTTTTGGAGATCTCTTTTCTGCTATTTCTTCAAGTGAGGGAATTCCCTGAGGGGAATTGCCCCCTCCCCCATGCAATTAGCAGGGAATGGCTGCTTGGGCTTTAGTGCCACAGAGCACAAATCAACNGTGGGGAAAACCGGGAAGCTTTCAGATTCGGGTTTTCCCAAGTGTGCCAACATGGCTCTCTTAATAAATTGGAACTTTGAGCAATACTTTTCCTTGGACTCTGATTTACTTTTGGATACTATATGGAACCTTGACATTGACCCGAATCTCCATTAAAATACTTCACGAGCTACCCCAAATTTCAGGGTGCTGTCCAGGGTCCTGAGCCCCAGCACTGACCTGAGTCTGGGCGGTGTAAAGACTCAGGGAAGATGGAGGAAGAGAAGAAGCCCATGGAGAAAGCAGCAGATGATGGATCGCCTATCTATGTCGAGACCATCTACATGCCTTCAAAAGCCATGGTGGAAGCCACGGAGGCAGCGGAGAAGGAATGCCAGCTGGGAGCCAGGCGCAAAGCTCATTTCTTTGCTTGCTCAGGATTACCATCCACAAAGAAGCTAGTGAAGATGTTTGTTAAACACATTTACCGCCTGCACAGAGTACTCAGACCATGGAGTTCAGTTCACCACCAAGTTCTGGAGGGAGTTCCTGAGGTCCATTGGGTCCACGCAAGGACTTAGCTTGGCTTTCCATCCGAGCACGAAGGGAGCAGCAGAAAAAGTTAACGCAATGGTGGAACAATACATCCATTGTTATGTGGATTACCAGCAGGACAACTGGTCGGATTTGCTACCTTTTGTCGAAGTCACGTATAACAATGCTGTCCACAGCAGCACTGGATTAACACTGTTTCAACTTACCAGCGGCATGGAATTTGAACTTCCCAGAGAACCCCCCCACCCTCCTCCTTGTCTCTGACTGAATGGATGGACGCTCTTAAAAGGGGGTGGGAGAATACGAAAAAAGCTCTGGCAGAAGCAGCAGGAGAGTACAAGAAACAAGCTGATAAGCATCACTTGCTCCAGCCTCCCTTCCGCGTGGGGGATAAAGTTTTCTTGTCTACCAAATACATAGAGCTAAGAATATCTAGCAAGAAATTAGGGTTGACATTTTTAGGTCCCTTCCCACTAGTGAAAATAATTAACCCAGTTACGGTTTAGCTCAGTCTGCCAAGAATTCTAGGGAAAATTCACCCCGTCTTCCATTGTAGCTTGCTGAAAGCTGTCATTGGGTTCAGCCTAAGATTGTTGACCCAGCCTCCCCTTTCTCCAGTAGTGATACAAGGAGAAACTCACTATGAAGTGAAGAAAAATTTAGCCTCTAGATTATATAGAGGTCAGTTACAGTATTTAGTGCATTGGAAGGAGTACCCTTTGTCTGAAGCTACATGGGTGAAAAGTTGGAATGTAAAAACTGATAAGTTAGTGAAACAATTCCATGATACATTTCCTGATAAGCCAAAGGAGGGAGAGGTGGTTAGCTATGCTCATGTTAACCCCCACATTATTCTCTTTTCAGGATGCGCTTTTCTTCTGAGGAGAGGCTGCCTGTCAGGCCTGCAGCAATATTTTCTTTTGGGTCTTTGGCCTGCCACAATTTCTATTATTCTGCTATGCATTTTCTATTGTGGTGAAATGGGAGGGGGGATTGTAAAGAGTTACATGCTATGTAGCCACAACAAAATTCTTTCTAGAAAGCCAAGGTCATCCTTTGTCTCTGCACCTGACTGGAATTGGATGGGTG